CTAACGTTTTGTGATTCTGTGATTCTGTGTGATTACATCTCAGAACATGCCCTGTCCACTGCTTACCACGCTGACCCTCTATAGATCTGCAAGAGATAGCTGGGAACATCCCAAGGCACAAAACCAAAGACACTGCACATTCAGATACAAATTTGTGCAGAAGAATAACAGTGAGATGCCTGAAATAAAAGGGTTTACCAATTGTGACTGGCTTTCTGCTCTCAATGTATTATTGACATTCCAGGTAACACTAGCACTACCCCAATAATATCACGCCCATTACAGAGCAGCCTTTAGCTACAGATACAGTGAGACTCACTCAAAATGCTTCTTGATCTTCTCTGGCTCAGCATATTTTGAGATCCCATTGATGAAGAGAGTTCGCTTAACCTGGAAGAAAAAAAGGTGTGGATGGCGTGAGAGACCAGATTGCAGCAAAACCCTCGAAGGCCTGAGTCAGTGACGGGAAAGGGCAGCTCCATCATGTCCAGCACCTAGGGGTTCCCCTCTCCTGTGTTTCCACTACCTGTTACCAACCTGCACCCTGGTGTGCTGCAGATTGACAGGCTAGGGGTTTACACTGCAGCTGCCTGAAGAGAAACAAGGGGTACCGTTATGAAACTAAGAAAGCAAAAGCAGCCAAAGCAACCCCTGAGGCATGGGGTCCCCCCTACACCTTCACCCAGCACAGGCCTCTGTTTCCTCACAGGGTAACCCCCAAATTGCTGTGGGAAGTGGGGTGCTCGGCACTCTCTCCAAGGCCACCTGACTTGACAGAAGAGCAGTGGGAAATGTGCCTGGGAGAGTGGCCAGATCCTGCTCACCAAGTCATCCTCTTTGTAGCGCATCTTGGAGGTGTGCCGGCGCATGCTGTACACCGTCAGCAGCAGGTACAGGAAGGCAAAAGACGTGTGCAGCCACAGCAGGTTATTCCTGTCACAAGGGAGACCACAAAGGTCAATGCAAGGTTGCCACTGCAAGCATGCATATGGCTGCTCAGGCCCTGAAAGCGCTGGGGCCATGAGCAGCGTAACCGGCATGGCACCCACGTGCCCTACAACCAACTTTCAGGAGTTCAACCTGGAAACTGGAGCAGGGACATAGCCTCACAGAGAGGGCAGAAATGCAGCCTTTGAGGAGGTCAGGCTCTGCAGCAAGTGGACATTTAGAAAATACCCAAGGGCCTCAATTATCCATCCCACCCCTGCCCACACATACCCAGAATTCAGGTTAGCGATAGTTGTCCTCCCAAAGCTGTAGGCATTGTTTTCTAGAGAGAAAGAGGCAGACATGAACATGTTTGGTTATACTGAGCAGCACAGAGCACCACTGAGGTGGGCTATGGCAGGAATCTCACCTGCAGTACACCCCAAAACCCAAACTGCCCAGGAAGACCCTCTAGATGTGCCACCTTCAAAGTGGGACAGGAGCCAGGGTTTGTTTGTGTTAGTCCTGTCCCGCCCTCCACTGTTCCCCAGTGGTCTGGGACACAATGCTGAAAGCAGTGCCCCCAGCCCTGCCAAAGACTCCCTGCTCTCACCTAGTAGGTCCCCTGAGAAGTTGACGGGTAACACGATGCCCACAGAGAGCACACCCACGGCCACCAGCAGCCCGATGATGTGCCTCTGGAAGGACAGGTAGTGCACCGCATCACCCCCACACTTGTCCCGGATCTCGTCATCCCTGCCAAGGAGAGAAAGGCCATCAAGCAATCTTCTACAGTCCCTCAAGTGCTGGACAAAAGCAGAGGCTCGTAGCTGCCCTCTTGCTTTGAGCCCACACAGCACCCTTGGTTCCGCCCAAGAGAGCTGTGGCCCGGCCCCCAGGGTACAGAGCCCAGGGACCAGCCTTGAACCAGACTGGGCAGAAACCTGCCCATGCAATAGTTACTGCAGCCCCACTCCCCATGCCCCTGCCAACTGCCCCCCAGGACAGGTAGTTGGACACGTACTAACCCCACCTCACACCCTTCTGGTGGGCCTTGCTTCCCCTACCAAGACACAGGGTGGCTTAGACTATCCCACAGTGTGCTGAAACCAAGAAGTGCTTAGGAGACTACTCCTGAGCATCATCAGGATGGGCGTGTCTCCCTGCATCCTCCAGTCCCCTCATCGTAGCCATTTCTTGTACAGCTGTGGCCTTAGCAGAAGTCCCAGACAGAGCAGCATCTCTGCAGCGCAGCAGTTTCTGAGATGGGACTGAGGCAAGGAGACCTGAGCTGGTTGGTCTCCTCTGTCTCAGACTCACTGTGTGACCTCAGTTTTGGTTTAAGGACTCCTTGTCTAGTCCTGTCTTTGCTTGTCCGTGCCATAGGACACGCTTTGCTTGTGCTCTTCAGAGAAGGGGCTGCAGCAAGTGCAGCCACTTCATGCAGCTGTACTGCGCTGGGTGTCCCAACACCCTGCATTGCCTCTCTTTCTTCCCCATGCAGGTCCCCTGTGGAGACCTTGGGCACTTACTTTATCCTGAAGATGGCTGTCAGCCAGGAGCAGAAACCCTGTGCAGAAAGAAGAAAGGACATTCTCGCATCACTCTGTGTTCCCTTATCCCTTCTCCCTCCTTCAAAGGCTCAGGGACCAGGCTGGTGTCCCTGCACCTCCACAGACTTGACTCTGGGAGGGCAGACCATGAGCAGCCAGATGTGCAAAGCCACGGATGGGCCAAGGTGAAGGAGATGACAGTGCTACTCCATGGGGACAACACAAGCTAGACTCTGCCATGTGGCTATCCCCTACCAAGTGGCAGCTCAACCTCCCAGGCATCCCATGGGCTCCTGGCTAGCATGGAAGCTCAGATCCAGAAAATTCACCATACAGGTACTTTAGCCATCATCCTGGACAAGAGGAGCTCTGCAGGGACTGGGAAGGCAGGCTGGGCCAAGCCAGTGCTCCTCAAAGGACATCTGAGGGAGGAGTATTTCCTGGGAGCTTCACCACCCACCCACCACATCCTGTTATCCTACTGAACTGTGCCTCCCCTTCAGAGAAACACAGCAGTAGAGGGCGACAGTGTCAGGAGGAGCTGGCAAATGTTTGTAATGCTGAGATGACAGGTTGGACAGAAGTCCATTAAACCACAGAGATGTACAGCCTCATTATTTAAGCACATGTCTATAAGCCACATAGTTATGCATCCTTGAGCCCTATACCACACTCACATACTACAAGGTATGGGTACAAACAGGGTTTCTTCTGAAAAGCCCTTAGTTCAGACAAGCTGTGAACTCCTGTCCACTCAAAAGGCAAGGTGCTCAACTCTTGCTGCTACTCACGTTGTCCCTCTGGTCGAAGTCCACAGAGCTGGAGACGGAGGTGAGGCGCTCGTAGCGGTCATGGTTGTCAGAGTGCAGGGCGGAGGCTACGCTAAAATGACAAGCAGGAGGCGAAGGAGAAAGTTAGAGGATGCAAGGAGACAGCCTGGTCAGGAACCAAGAGCACCCAAAAGATCAGAGGTTAATTCAGGTCAGTTTGCCCCAGGTGAGATGGAGAGAAATGAGAACAGAGGGTGGCAGTAAGCAAAGACCTCAGACAGCACCCTGAGCCTGCTTGATCATGGATGCTACTCACTCAGCACCTTCTGAGAGAGGCACCCGCATTATGTGCCATCCCCTGCAATGAGGGGCTGGCAGCAGCTGCCACGGAGGAGAGATGAGGTCTGTTCAGCACAGGGTTTGGACAGAGGAGAGAAGGTGGGAACCAGAGGGTGTCGCAGCCCCCTGGCTCTGGTGTGGCCACAACGCAGCAGCCCTGGTGCTCCGGAAAGGGGCTGGCAGCAGCTCCAGTCTCAGAGGGCCTCGCTCGCCTTGGGGAAGAGAAAGGCTGGGAGTCTGGTGGGCTGTATCACACTACACCAGTCCTCCCCACCTCAGTGCTTCAGCACAGGGAAACCCAGGCAGAGGAACACAGCTGAGCTGCAGTGGCTGTGTGCTCCCTGGAGCCGGGCTCAGCTCAGCCTGCTCCACAGCCTCAGCTGGGCCTCCTGCCTGGAGATGCCTCCAGCAGCATGGAACAGGTAGCTAGAAGTGAGTGGCCGCAGGCTAAGGGCAGGAAAGAAGAGAGGTGAATATCCCAGACAGCTTTACTCCAGGCACAGGCAGGGACCTAGATGAAGAACCTGCAGCAAAAGTATCCAAGACAGACAACAGTCCCCACTATGAATGGAGGCAGAGGGCTGCTGGCAAAGGAGGCAAGAGAATGGTCCAGAGACCTAAATTAAATAGCACTTGCAAGATGACAACAGCAGGCCAGGACCTTGGAGATGCAAGAAGAGATATGGCTGATCCGAAAGCTAGAAGGAAAAAAACAGATGAAAACACAGTCTCCCTGTAACTAGAGTACAGATTCAAGGAAGATCAAGTGCACAAGAACCTGGAGAAGAAGCAGCTGAGAGACAAGTGCTAGAGACAAGGTGGATGACACTATGGGCAAGAGAACAAGCAAAGACCCTCATGGCCCTGCTGAAGGAAAGAGGATGGGACACTTGTCCTGCTTCAAAGCAGAGCAGCACGTGCAGAGTCTCTAGGTGAAAGCAATGGAGAGAGGGGAAAGGAAATTAGCTGAAGGCCATAGAGCTACAAAAGTGCAGATTAGACAGTGGCGTGCAGCCTTGCAACTGCACAGCCCAACACCCTGCTCTGCTGGAAGGACACAGTGCACTTTGACCGAGCTCTCGGACCTTCAGCCCTTTATGCCCAGAGGCCTTGCAGCTGGGTGCAGGGAACGAGGGTGAGTTTCTGCTGTCTGCAGCCCCAAGGAGAGCCCAGCGTGATGACATGGTGTGCTTTTGGCTCCTCAGTACTGAAAAAGCAGAGGGCAGAGCAGCTCTGGAAGGAAAAACTGAGAAGAGTACCGTGTTATGAGACGACCAGACCAACTCAGCGGGATGCAGAAATGATAATCAGGATGACCAGCAGTGCTGAGAAGACAGAGGGAGCCAAACCTTGACAAAGATGAGAAACTGAAAAGGGAGCTCTAACGGTATCTGCACCTAGCTGGAGGTTTTTTATTAAAGCAAAGGAGTAACAAAGTAAGTGGGTGGAGGCAACATTGCCCTAAACTGCAAGACTATGAAGGATGAGACCCAAGAGGCCTGGCTAGCCTCAGGCCAAGGGAATCGCAGGCTGCAGGAGGGGTAGCCAGGTATGCTGTGGAAGCGGCTTGCTGTAGTGCAAGGCAGGAGGTGTCTGTGCAGGTGGCAAGACAAGAGCACTTGCTGGTTCTCAGGCAAAGCGACACACCAGAGAAGGATCCCCTTTCACACATTCAATGGCTGGGCAGCATACACATGTCCCTAACCCACCACCTGGCACTGCACCCCAGCACGAAGAGCAGCTGGGATGGGAAGGTGCCACCAGCCTTGGAGGAGCACAGCCAGGACAAGGTTTCCTTGCCGATGCCCACAGGCTTTTGGAAGTTTCTGGCTGCCAACACTGTCCCAGCTCAAGCAGTAGGTTTAAGGGTCAGCAGAGAGCTCCAGCAAGCCCAGATGAAGAGTGGCAACAGGAAGAAGTGGTCCCCTGGAGAGAGACAAGCACTCATGAGGATATCTGAGGTGGTTCCCCTGAAAAGCCTCAGAGCATGACTGCTCTGCTACCTCTGCCTTACTCTTCCCACAAGGTGTTAGCAACAAGACACATCTGAAGCAGCACCAACCACTACTGAAGCAACCACAAAAACAGGAGCATCCCTGTACCCTCTCAAGGCAGCAGCAAGGTCCAGCTTTGCAAGCAATGGCATGTGAAAAGCAAGGCCGCAGCTTGCTGTCCCAGCCTCAGACATGCATTAGCCTGGCTGGAGGGACCATCGCAGGCTCTGCGCCACCGGCTAATTGCATCCTCTGCAGCATACAGCACGCAGCCAGTGAGCAAGGCACAGGGTATGTTCTTTTCTTAGGCATAAAAGCAGCAAAAAAGAAGAGCAGGGAGGCAGGGTCCATGAGGGTGCTGAAAGGGCAACGCCTGGCCAAGGTGCCAGAGGGTGTTCTCAGCAGTGCTGAGGCAGAAAGTTTGCTTCTGCAGGGGTAGAGAGAAAGGACGAAGGTGCTGCCTTGCCAGGCATGCTGACAGCCAGGGGTAGGTGGCAAGGGCAAACACATGCCCTGGTCCTGGCAGCCTCATGGGGTGAAGGAAAAAGCTGAGCTGTGGGCTCAGGCAACCAGGTTTATTTTCTCCATCATAAGGTGGGATAGCTAGACATGGGCATGTAGAGCAGGGTATGTGACATGGCACCCGCTACTGCACCTGGGACTGGGAGCATTTAAGGGCTACTGGGGGAAAACCAGGGTGCATCCAGCTGTAGTAGTGGCTGACAGAAAGAGGAGAGAAAGAGAAGAGCACAAATCCATGCCCAGACTCCCAGCCATTTAGATTAGTTCAGAAGCAAGACAGGAAACTGTAAGAGAAAAGGAGAAAGACAGAGAGTATGAGCAAGAAAGAGAGAAGAAACAAGACCCTGAAAAAACAACATACTATTCCCGTTCCTCTCGCTCCCTCTGCCAGCGTCGGCGCCTGCAGGCACAGAAACACAAAAGGAGAGGTTACAGCTACAGGAGCAGGCACTGGGTTTCCTCCGTTGCAGGGAGTGACACACCTGAGAAGGCTCCACCCTGTCCTGAGGAAGAGAAACCTGCCAGTGGTCAGGCCGGAGAAGGCCTTCTTTCAGCAGCCCAGTGTCGCCCCAAGCCACAACACCCCAGAGCCCTGGCTGATGCAGGGGCAGAGTGCTGTGCTGCCAGCTAAAGTGAAGAGGGCTTTACTGGGAAGGTGGTCTGGCTTCACACCACGGGTGTCCCAGGGAGCTCCCGAGGGATGGGACCAGGCAGGACAGCCTGCCAGGGCCACCCAGCTGCCACCTCAGCTCCCCTTCCACGCCCCTCCTTCCCACCCAGGCAGCTAACACACTTGCATCCTGACCTCCTGAAATGCTCATCCCAGCCCACGGATGGGCCAAGCAGCAGGGGATGCTGATCCTGGTAATCAACACCTTGTACCACAGCCATGCTGTCCTTCTCCCCACACTTACTGGCTTTCTCTCACCAAACAGCTGGCACCCCTCAGCCTTTCTGCTTACAGCCACTGCTCTGACTCCCCCACACCCAAGGTACTTGGGCATCACCTCCAAGAAGGCTACCAGCACCCAGGTCCAAATAGCTTAAGCCTGAGGAGCTGCTGCCCTCTCTCCAGTGAGATCTCATACAGCTATTCCTTTCTCCTTGCTTTCCCCCAGTGCCCCTGGCATTGCTGATTTCCCCAACCTGGCCAGGAAAGGAGCAGCAGAGGAGCCACAGGGACACAGCTGCTTATCTAACACTATCAGGGTGGCTTATCTAAACCAGGAGAGCTCCTGGTTCAGTGTTGGATGAAAACAAATCTTACTCTTTCTTCTGTTGTGCAGGTAGCACTGAAGAGCAGCTTGCTTGAATCTGCATCACCAAAGGAACCTAAGAGGCTGGAGCACAGCCCCATCTGAGCCTTTAGGTGCAATGAGCTCATAGAGCGGATCAAGGGGAAGAAGAACCAACCACAGCTACCCTTCAGAAGCCACAACTTTGCCTCCAGCAGGTGACAAAGCACCACAGGCACAGCAAACAATCCCTTGAGAGAGTTGTGCTACCCGCACGACCCTTCTAAGCTTGATCAAAAGAGTTCCTTGTTCTGCACTGAAAGAAAATAACCATTGCCCTTCTTGCTGCCAACAGCAAACAGAACAGCATCTCATTCTGCTGTGGAGCTGCCAGACCCAGTAGGCCCTGGCTTTCACTGACAGACACTGTGGCCCATGAACGCATTGAGCAGGAAGGATCCATACCCAGACCGGCTCCTCAGCACCTGGGATGCAAGCTAAACTCACATTAGCACAGCAGTACCACACCTGGAAACAAAACCTACTGCTTTCAAGTGCTCTTAACAAGAGCTGCATCCAGCAGAGCCACAAAGACACATTCAGAAACATAACAAAGCCTTCACTGTGGCAGGCCTCACCCTTCCTGTGACCTCTTTCCCTTTCTCCTCCCTCTCCTCTTCCTCTGTGAGGGCTTCTGCACATTTCTGTCACTGTAAAGGACCATAAGTGCTATGGAGCCAGTAGGGACAACTCCCTATGTTGGGAGAAGGATGCTGTAACAAAAAAGCTGGTAAACAAGGATTTTCTTCCTGTTCCTGGAGTTCACGGAATACAAGTGGCATGCTTGCCTCTCCTCCCCAGCTGCCACCAGCACATGCAAGGGGATTTATCCCTTCTGCCCCGCAGCAAAGAAGGGTACCACTGTCCCTCTGCCATGCTTACCTGTCAGCATCGGTCACCAGGGCCAGGCGTCCGTAGTCCCAAGCAACTTTACGCAAAATTGAAAAGACGAACAACAGCACCTGGAAGAGAGCAAAGTGGGGGCTGTGAGAGGAGGCACTGTCCAGCTCTGTCCTCGACCTCTGCATCCAGAACCACAAGAACAGGCAGGGAGGAGGGGACAGCTCAGCTAACAGCACACTGAGGTATAAGACAGCACAAGTTCTCCAGGGCTGTTAAAAACTGGGTGGCTGTGGAAGTCAGAGTACACACAGTAGCTATGTTAGCCACAGGACCAAAAGGCCCACAGGTCCCAAGGAGGCCAGGTTATGGGTACAGCATCTGTGGTCCTGCAGTTCTTACGGAGGAACAAGCAAAGCCTTTGGGTGAGTAAGGCTGCAGGGACTTGACACTATAAGTGGAAGTTTTGGGATGCGGGACTGACCTAACCTGACCCATGTCCTTAGGAAAATCTGTAAAGCCCTTCCAAGTATGGTGGTACTGGAGTTAAGTCAATAGCAGCTAAGCCCACAGTGGCTCAGGGACACGATCAGGGCCATAAAGTCAGCCAGCAGCAGTCAGGGATGGCATTTGGGGCCCTTAATTCCAACCACCTGACCACAGTCCTCCCTTCACAGCTATCGGGGGAGAAGGTGCTGAAGGAGCAGTAGGTAGACTTACGAGGAAGCACATAAAGTCGAGGGCTAGGACGGTGGGCACCCCGCCAAAGGGCAGCCCCTGCAGCACAGTGCTGCGGATGCGGGCACTGTAGCAGTAGTCCTTGGTGCTGTTGCTGCATGTTGAGGCTTTGCAGGCAGTCCCTGCTGAGCCCAGGGTGGCGATCACGTAGGGAAGCATCTTTACAGCTTCATGGTCTTCCCTGGGGGAAAGAGAGAGAGGCCTGGTTAGACACATGCCAGTAGCCCTGATGGAGATAGGGGCCAACCTTGCCTGCTATCTCAAGCTCCTCTATGCTACAGGATTTCCCTGGGAACCAGTGTCCAGGGACAGGGTCATCTGGAGAAGCCTGCTGAGTTTGGGGTGTGCTGAAAGAGCCTGGGGGCTTCAGCAGCTGTGGTTGCACCATGCACAGTCCCAGAGCTCCCTTCCTTGTCCCCCTACTCCCGCACCATTTAGGGGTGCCACTTTCTCACTGATTACTACTCTTCTTGAGGACACGGTGCCTCAGACCCTTACTCTCAGCAGGTAGAACCTTTCGGTATAGGAAAGAACAAAAGGGTGGGGTGGTGAGGGCATGAAGTCACATCTGTATAATGTAAACAAACTGCCTGCTACGGGACAGTTGCTGCATCACAATCCCACAATTTCCTCTGCCTGGCTGTGTGCCATCAGTTTTATTAGGCTGAATCACCACCCTCTGCTCACTGCAAGCCTCAGCCCCCAGCTCCCAGGGCACCCATCAGGGGCTGGTCACACCCCCTGCTGCTGCTTTTTTTTTTTTCTTCCTTCGACTTGGATGCATTTAAACACAACCAAGCTGACAGCACAGAGAAGGCTTAGGCTCTGCTATTTAGCTGGTTAAATATTTTCTTTCTTTCAGTGCTCTCTCCAAATTGCTTCAAGATCCAGAGCTGGGCTTGGGTCAGCATCACTGCTTGGACATGGGGAGATCCTTCTCCTCCTGTGCAGAGCAGCTGGATGGGAAACACAGAGAAGATCCTACTAGCAATGAATAAATGCAAACTGAGCATCACCGGGATGGCCTAGAAATGACAAATCGACAGCAGAAACACAACTGCTTTCTGGAACAGAGGAGAGAAAACTCCATCAGCTGCAGAAGGAAGCAGCAATAACAGACAGGAAGGTCTACCCAAGCTGCCAATTCCTGAACCATCCCTCTTATCCAGCACCCATCAACTACCCCAAACCCTTCACTACCACCACATACATGCAGAAGTGCTGGCTGGCACAGTGAAAGTACAAGAAAGCCACCACGACTGCCCTGTGCTGGTTTTGGCCTCTTGTCCCAGAAACACCCCCTACCACCAGCCCTGTCCTTCTAGCTCTGCGTAGGATGGTGACATTAGCAGAGAGGAAGCACGGCTCTTCTCAGGTATATCCTGGCAATCTCCTGCCTGGCTGCAGGGATTTATCAGCATCATAGCATAACGCTGGCTGGATAATGACCACCAACCCATTCACTGCGGTGTCCTAGAGAGCTCAGCCTCAACATGATCCTTCCTGGCTCCTCCTGGTATAGATGTACAGCTGCAAACACCAGTGACAAAGGGCACCACAACGAGCAAAAGCCTGACTGGGTACAGGCATTGAGGAGGTTCAGCCCTGGCTGAATTAACGGGAGACTGGGGAGCTTCAGGGGAAGAAGTGATGGGATGAGACTCCAAGGAAAGTCACATGCCTTGGAGGGTGGATAGTTACACCTCTGTTTTCACCTCCAAAGTACCAGCCTACACAGACACCCTGCAAAGAGAAATACCTCTCATTTCTCTTTTTGAGAATCTTTTAAACGTTTAGGCTGTAAACTGCTTCTTGCAGCAATGAGTTCCCGATGTTGAGTAAAAGACTACGACCCCACTGCAACTCCTTGCATAGCAAAAGAAGGCAAAGAATAAAAACTTTTGCTTTTTCTAGACCTACTAAGCTCACTACTGAGTGCCCTCTCCTTCCCCTGACACGAGGTGTCTGGCAACAAGCGCTCTCACCACATCCTCAATATATCCTCTCTTTTGACCCTGCAGAAAGGTGACCAGAACCACACACAATATCCTGGGTAGGGAAATGACCTCGACTGTCAGAACAGCATCTGATGCTCTCAGCATCTCTCCCTACACTACTCCTTGTGCAGCTGAGCATAATTTACTTCTCCGATGGCATCTCTGCCTATTGAAAAAAAGCATCTCTGTGACCAACCTGCAGTGCTGCTGCCCTGAGTAGCCAGGGTGATTTAGAAGCCAGCCACGGCCCAAAACAGATAATTCCTTCCAATAAACCCAGCTGCACACTTCTCTGTGCCCACGTTCGTCTCACCTCACGCCACTTTGCTTCACACAGTGTAACTTTGGAGATCCTGACAATTCTGAACGATTCCAGGGCATCAGCAGATTTTAGGTACCTCGCTGACCCTTTTCTGGGTCATTAATAGCGAAGGAGCTCATCTCTCTGCTCTTGTCACACTGAAATTGCTCATTTGCTCCCAAGGCTTTCTTTTTGGACCCTCAACCAGTTCTGATCCAGGACTTTACATGTCCTCCAATGGACAGTTTTCTTAACAGTCTTTTGTGAGGAATTTCAGAGGTCTACTGAACAACCAAGCGAGTCTCCCAAGCTGGTGAAATATTACCTATTATTTTACTGAAGTACAGAAAGACTTGCAACAGATCAGAGAAGTATAAGTTTCCTCTGCAGAGACCAAACTGTTTACCTCATTCCTGCATGTTTTATTAGCCCCATTTTCCAGTCGTCTTTCTAAAAGAAACGAGGTTCATATGCTCACATTGCCCATGACACTATCATAAATGTTATTTACACAAACCACTACATGCTCAAGACAAACTTAGCAAGCCTATGGATAATTTAAGCCACATTTCAGAGATAAGTCTAGAGATGTATTTTTCTGATGCTCTGCCTCCACCCAATGCAGACATGGTTTTGCAAAGCTTTCTGTTCAGATCCCACTGCCTGCCTCTGGGGAAGGACCCTGGGTGCCTGCTTACACCTAAGCTGCCATCTCAGGTAAGAGAGCCAGTGTGAGCACACTGGCTGTGCCGTACCACAACATGGTTAGAGGCACCTATCCTGGTCCCTCCTTCCTGAGCTTGGCTCTGCTTGGGCTGTGATGCCAACACCAGCATGAGCCCCTGCTCATCAGGAGTGCCAAGGCACAGAGAGTTCATGGGAAGCTGTTATGAGGGTCAAGGTGGTGGGATCCAGCCTGAGGTGCCCAAGCCCTTTCCTGACTGTAAGCAGTCAGAGCAGGACACAAAACCAGGTCCCATGGAAGCCCTGAAGCCTTCCCCTCCAGCACTCTGCACTTTTACTGCTGACTTCCTCAAAACAGCAAGGACAGCATAGAAAGACTTGCCAAAAGGCACTTGCGGCTCTTAATCAGCAGCACTGGGCTCGATGAGCAGCAGGAACGGGGAACAGCAGTCCTCCAGCTTCCCCCACCCCCAGAGAAGCCTGCTCCCTGCCTTGCACCACAGCCTCGACATCCCCAGCAGGACTGGCATGTTCACACTGCTCGATGCTTCCATCCCCAGGATCAGGAGCAGAGGCATCCTGCTTCCCAGCTGCAGTCCCTAAAGCACGTCCCACTGCGCACACTGCTCTCCCTGGAGTCTCTGCCCCTCACACCCAGCGTATGCATCCTCTGCCAAACCCTGGCACCAGAAGAAAAGAAGAAAGAGAAAGCACTCTGTGGGATGCAGGCAGAACTGATGCAGGAGCTGGACCACTGGCCTACACGCAGACAGATGCACCAACACGGGCGAATGTCCGGCTGTGCTCTTCCAGTCACACTGCTGTTGGCCAGACACAAGGAGAAACGCTTGCAGAGAAATATAAATCAATAAAGCACACGCCTGTGCTTGCAGCCACGACGACGTAAGCACACAGGCCACATTCATTTGTTTTCTCACCGGTAAACGTTAATAATGCCATCTGTAATTAGAAAAGCCAGGCTGTGCTCTGGTAGAGGCGCATGCATTTATGGAAATGTGAGAGTCTCACATCAGGCCGGGGACACAGAGACAGGCAGCCAGATACCAGTAGGTCTGGGGTTAGGAGACTAAAGATGCCCAGATTAAAAAAACCCAAAAACCAAGACCCAGAATTTACTAAATCTCTAGGACATGACATTCAGGGAGGTAAGGTGCGTTTTGGTTCCTGGCCTCAGAGAGTGCTAGGGGCATAGCCTGTACCTTGCAGACTTGCTGCTTCAAGGTCCCCTTGCTCTCCCAGGCATCACAGGTGAACCACCAGGGACCGGAGCCTGGAGGACCTGCCATCCTGAGCCCCTGCCTGTGCTGGGCACTTGGGGACCCTCACACAGCACCCAAGGTTGAGGGAGCCTTTTCACCCCCCAAACAGCCACCTAGGTTACCTGCACCTCGATGGCAAAGCCCAGCAGAGCTCTGTGCAGGCTGCCAGCAGCCACAAACAGGAAGAAAAGCCTGACTCCTGGCAAGCAAGCAGGGAAAAGCCTCAGGAGAGATGGGGGGAAAGCAGGCTTGTGAATTAGCTGAAAGGCTTTCCCAGAGCACAGCAGCAAAGAAAAGGGGTAAAAAGCACTCTTGCTGCAGATGGAGTGGTGGCAGAGCTGCCCTGCGTCATGCCTCAATCCTGGTGTGGGGCTTTCAGGCAGCTGAGGGCTGGAGAAGTGCTGATGCGCCGGCTGCAACGAGGAGGAACGTGATCTGCAGGCCAAGGGAAAAAGCATCAAGAAGCAAATGTGCATTTCAAACAAGCCTGGGCAAAGCACTGAAGAGCACTCAATAGGGATCAGTCCTGTATCACCAGGAAGGAGGAGGGCCTACCAAAGCCCTGCATCTCACTGCCTCTTCTTCAACTCCTCCAGTCAACACACAGAGTTCCCTGCACCCTTCCTCATCCATGTGAGTTCACCAAGAAGACGCCAGGCCTCCAAAACTTTGATCTGGCAGGTTCAACTTCTTCAAAGCAAAAAACTAAGCGCACCCTTGCCCTGGGTCCAAAGTCCTTCCAGCTGGCTTTGCCTCAGGCTTTAAACACCTACCAGCAAATGACATCACACTTTTTTTGTGTGTACCAGCTCCCAGCCACGGTGCTGGCAGGTACCGTCACTGTCATAGCCAGCCCCTGGCCCCATGCTTTGCAGCAGCTTGCATACTGCTGGCTGTGTACATCCTGCTGCTGGGAACC